TCGCCACTATGACGGAGGTGGTTAAAGTTATACAACAGGTGAAAACTAGCAGGCTAGGTAGCTAGAGTTAATGATATCCCATCTGAGACTTGGAAGAACAAAGGTCAAGTACTCTACGCTAAGTTCCAGGAGCTCACTGTGTGACTGGAAAAAAAAAAGGCGAGCTTCCACAAATCTTCATGATGCATTCATTATCACCCTATATAAAAAAAAAGACTCAAAGTCAGACTGCTCAAATTACCGAGGTATTACCTTGCTCTCCACTATGGTAAAATCCATGCACGAATACTTTTTAATAGATTAGTTCCCGCTATCTCAGAAGAACTTCTACCTGAAAGCCAACATGAGCCAGTAGGAGTATCACAGATACGATATTTGTTCTGCGATTACTGCAAGAGAAATGCAAGGACTAGAACAAAGATCTCTACAGAACCTTCGTAGACCTTATTAAAACTTTTGATACTCGAAGCAGAAAAGGACTGTGGTAGATCTCCGAACAGTTAGGATGTCCTCCCAAATTCCTGAAAACATGAGAATCAGTTATTGAAAAAGTTGCTCAAAAATCATTTTATTGCAAAATGCATCAACATTGCAGAAAGAATACATGATCGATTTGACTTCGAATGAATTTTTATTCCAAAAGGAAATGAACAGAAAATTTTAAATTGTAACTACACAGAATATGATATTACATCCAATTTTATCACCAAATTTTCATGAGTTAATTTTATCAACACTTTCATTTTTAATGGAAAAACGTTAGTGGAGTTTGTACAAATTTCATTTCACTCAAAGTTCTTTTTTTTTGTTGCACTGAAGATTCAAAATTAGTTTTCAATAGTTTGCAATATTCGATCAGATTTATATTTTGCTGAAATTTTAATTAATTGATAAAAAATGAAACATCCACTATTCGATAGTTTGGAAATATTGCCGTACTTTAATTTTTCAAATGTTATGTGAACGTCATGAAATATTTCAACAAATGCCGTTGTTTTCTTTTTGCGCTCTAAAATTCATAACCATTCCTATGAATTCTTTGAAATGTGCATTAAACAATTTTTTTGAAGAAAGAAAAATTTTTGACACATGACCTGACCTTTTATCCTTCAAAGAGTTTGCGATAGATTCTTTTAGTTTCAATAAAATAGTCAAAATTCGTTATTTTTTTTTGATTCATTCTATTTTAGTTCATTTTATCATTCTTTTTTTTTTAATTTTTTTGCTTTTTTCTTTCAGTTGTTTTTGTCAACATCGTTGAGTGATAATTGACTAAAATGTGAACATATATTGAGGAATACAAGTTTACCCGAAGTCAATTGAACATGCTATTCTCTCTGCGATAAAATGATTTTTGAGCAACTAAGACTGATAAATAATAGTAGTTGAAGTGACGTATTCTTACGCAAAACTCTGAATTTTTTTATTTTTAAAAAATATTTGACAGAAATATATAAATCAAAAGACCAATAACAAGCACTACCTTGATTGATAGAATTCTTCGGCAACTGATTTTAAACATTTCTTTATGAAATTAATCGAATAATTCTGGGCAATAAATTATTCATCACCAAAAAACTGCTGAAATTTGTGAAATAAAAAAATTTAAAATTTATAGAAATTTGATTATTTCAGGGTAAAAATTTTAATCCTAATAAATGATATGAATGGATCCTTTGACATTTATTCATTTATTCACATTTAGCGAGTAACACTTTTTGTTCTATCCAGGTTTTAACGGATCGCAATGTAACGAGTCTGAATTCATTTACTTCAACAATAGAAGAAGATCTACGAGCATCTGAAAGAACGAATGTGTCCTTCCGGTCTTACACAGAATCTCATTCATGTATCGCTAACATTTTTACATGGCATTGTTTAACTTCTTGATTGCAATGGAATGAAAAAAAAAATGGAATGAAATGAAAATGGAATGAAAAAAATTGCAATAGAATGAAAAAAAAAGATTCAATAACTGGTATCAGGTCATACCATAATTAGTATCAGGTCATGTACAATAACTGGTATCAGGTTATGTAATACGTATTCTCTTCAGTGATGTGCAATCACCACATAGAATAATGTATAGATATGAAAATTACTTAGTGGTTTGGTGTAAAGTTGTTCACTGTTTTAAGTTCCTATGACAGTTGTGAGGGCAATAATTATTACTACACTTATTTATATCTTACACATCCTTAACATGTAGTAAATTTTTTTTAATTCGCGATATTGTTGATATCAACTTTTATAGACAGTGATGATGTTCACGAATTTGTAGGATTTGCTTTCAGTAATTGTACAAATGAAAGGACAAAATTGAAATAACTAAATAAGGACAAAATCAAAAAGGAAAATTTTAAAGAAATAATTGAAATGACTGATTCATAATAAGACTTCATCAATTCAACATCACATACAGTACAATATAGATAATCTTAAAGGCAGATTCCATTAATTTTCTATTTTGAATTATTTTATTATATTTTCTATTATTTAAATTTTGATTAGAACTTGTCATTCCACGATCGCTTCATGAAAATTTAATTTTGATAATTTAATACAACCCAACAAAGTTATCGAAATCATTTAACTTTCAAAGTCCTATAATCATTTGAATAGTTATTATTAAGAAATTGTTTTGGACCGATCGCAAACAAATGAATTTTTATTGGAATAAATGTGCTTAGCATAATAGTTTTAAACTGTTACCCGTTTTCATCATTCATAAGCTATTATACAAGTTTCGCAAATTCATTTCACAATTGTTGAAAAGCGAAAATCTCTCCATTGTACACTCATCTCTCTCTCCTTCTCTCTGTGTTTCTTGAATCCCTTCGAATTCTCGAGCTATCCAATAATATCATTGGAGAACTCTAGACTTTTGTCACGAATATGTAGAACGTCTCGAGTATTAAGAAAGAGAACGATTGTAGATTCAGATATCTCTTGACATTCCTCTTCTTTACACTTCACCCTCTTATTTACTAGTACGGAAGGGGCTCATTCTATTCTACAAAATATACATCAGTCTCGACGTAGGGATGGATGGACAGGGTGAGTACTGAACTGGAACAACTTTCATTCCTTTATAAAATGCATCATCTCCTGGCCTCACTCGCATTTCTTCTCATTTGCCACACAAAACCTCATCCTACTTTTTCCCATTCATTTTTTTTTAAATGAAAGTTATGGAATTTTGGTTTCTTCATTTAGTTTTACCATATATCATTTGGCTTCTCAAATGTTTACAGTATTCAATTCCAAAAACATATCTTCAATGTTCTCCGATAGATTATCAAGAAAAATCCCGCTCCGATAACATCTTTTAGTAACAAAATATCCTATCACACATATATTAAATCACTCTCATAAATAAGAATGGATGTCATTTACATTACAATAATTTGTATATTACAAGATAAAGTTAACCACCATTCAAACCAATTCATTTATTCTTTCATACTAACATTTATTAATCAATCAATCAATCGGTTTAGCTATTCTTTTTCTTATCGCTAATGATAACATCGTGTTATCGAATAGCACAATGACTTCATTTTTTCAATCTTCCATTTATGAAACATTGGCAGGACTACTTCCATATTTGATAACCTTCGCTATTTCACACTGCACTCTACTTCACAGCTTTTTAAAATGCTATCAATGCTCATGAGTTTATTAGATATAATATATTTAATTAATATTTCACTTCTTAATTTATTGAAAAGTAAAAGACAAAAAAAAAGAAAACTTTGGCAAATTGAATAATTTGCTTTTCGAAATATTTTAACGAAATATCATTTTTCTTCAGTACTATCATCAGATTCCAAACAAACAACATAGTTTGAAAATAAAAAAATACAACTGTCAAAAACAAAATAAGCAGCTGCTCTTTTCGGCCCTGATCGTCAATAATTCTTGAAAGTTTAGAGAAGTTAATCTTTGGTCGAGTGAAATTGAAAAAAAAAAGAAGTAAACATTGAACTGTTAATCCAAAAAATAAAATAATTCATCGACTTTCATCGTCATCATTGAGTTGTATTCAAATGGTTACTACCATAATTGTCCCATCTCATCCTAATTTGGTGACATTGTTAATCATTTAACATTCTGTTTCGTTCTTTTTCACTCCACAACTATTCAAATTGCGAATGACATATATCAAGTCATCTACACATCCACTAAATTTCATTTCTAGTTAAAATTGCAAAAACAATCACCTTTCATCAGTCTTCATAATATTAAGTGGAAGTTAATTGGCTCTGCATGGGTGTGTGTATATATATATGTGTGTGTGTATGTGTAGGGAAATTCATTGGGAGATGTTTTAATGCCTAAGTAAAATTCAAGAAAAAGTTGTAGTATCCATTACAGTAGGATGAAAGTATTTCGGTGCACGCAGCGGGGAAAGAGCAAGGATACGAGGAGAGGGAAGAAATTTTTTCCTGAATATTACCCGAAAGAAAAAGAAAGGATTCTCCTGTCCTATTTACTCTTTATGTTGTCATTGTTAGATGTACTTTCAACAGCCGATAGCTTACAACAAATTTTTTTTCTGTTCTCCAATTGTTGCTTTTTTTATATGCTGATATCGCGGGATTCTGGTATCAGGAAATCCTGATATCGGGAGATTCTGTTATCGGGATATTTTGTAAAGCTGCAATTGAGTGGAACACATGGGAACTTGAAAGCAATCAGTGCTTCTTTACATTTTCCCAACTCCATATCACTAATCCAATTGCTCTCTCTCTCCTTCACGCTTTACTACATTCCATTCTATTTATCCCATCCATCAAAGAGAGCGCAATATGATGAGCGTTATTGTTATCCATCCTCAACTTTTTACACATTCTTTATACTCGGGAATACGGGAGTAAAGAGTAGGAAGTATGCTTTGTGATACATTTGTGTTCACTGGATTTTCCAGTTATCGGGATAACGGGGAGGCTGAGAGATGATAAGATAGGTTCATTATTTGTTTGAGAATACTTCTTAATGAGTGTTTTCACGAATCCATACACAGCGTGTATATATAAGCATTACGTATTACAGTATATATAAATCATGTAATGTTGGAAATATGCAGGTTTACCTTTAATAAAAACATTTTCATGCATCCTGCATATGCATGAATGCAATCACAATGCAAAGTACATTTTATGAATTTTATATTACATTCTGGAGCTAAATAAACCTGATATGAAGATATTTCGAGTGCAATGCACTTGCAACATGCATAAGGCGTGTAGGCATGCACTCTCTCACACTCATATGTGAATATAATAAACAACTTTTCCGTATTGATTGCATTGTGTAGTGCAAATGGTAAAGAGGCAATGGTCAAGTGCACGAAATGATTATAAATATTCGCATCTACCATTCTCATCGTCATTTTCCATTTTGCGAGTTCATAGTTCGCGAAAATAGTAGGAGGGCCGGGCAGTCGGGGAAAGGCGGGGTGGGTAGTCGGGGAAAGGCGGGGTGGATAGTCGGGGAAAGGCGGGG